TAAATGAAATCTTGTCATTTGAAGCGATGCCAGTCAGTTCCTAACCCCATTCCTCTTAGTAGTAACGGTAACTATAAGATACACAATATAGAGGCAGTGCACAGAAACTCCTTGCCGTTATCAGAAGGCCATTCTCCTTCCTCAATATATTGCTATTGTATTCATCAATGTACCATTCTCTGTAGTAGCCTTCACTGTGTTCTACTAGTAGCTATTATAATACACTTTAGTGATATTCCACTAATATAATACACTATCATATAATATATAATTCAATATAATACATACAGTATACACTATAATATATAACACACTATAGCGGTGTTCCTCTCACCATGACGTGGAAGGTCTTGTGTTTGATCCAGGGTCCCTTGGTGGGGGTCACAGGGTTGAACTCTGACCCAGCGTATCTCTGGAAGTCAGGCTTCAGGACGTATCCACTCAGCCCGTTGGATCGGAACCTGCCCTGGTTCAGGTCCATCTCCTTAGACGGAGTCTGGAAGTTTAGCGCCACTGGAGAGAAGAAATTATAATCAATAAAGCATCTTCATGCATTTATAGAGAAAGGGGAAGACTGTGGTATGAGCTGGTACAGAGATTGTTCATGTCAATGTTATCAGAGGATTCTTAAATAAAAGTATAATTGAAGAGAGAGTACCAATCTGACAGCCTGCGTTCCACAGGGGAACAGGGTTGTAGTTGGAGGAGGCTGTTCTGGAGCCGGCTGGGTAGATACGGCTCAGCTTGGTCATGTTGTGGTGGATAAAGGCATTTGCTGGGAGAGAGGTAAACCAGACAGGACAATGATGCAATCCTTGTAAGAACTGTTCTAGAACATGCATAATGGAAGTGTGTTCTAGAACATGCATAATGGAAGTGTGTTCTAGAACATGCATAATGAAAGTTGTGTTCTAGAACATGCATAATGGAAGTTGTGTTCTAGAACATGCATAATGAAAGTTGTGTTCTAGAACATGCATAATGAAAGTTGTGTTCTAGAACATGCATAATGAAATCTATGTTCTAGAATGAAATGTCTATAGTACTCTGAATCAAGGCTGAAAGGTCCTTTTATCCAGGCTTGACAGAAGAGAGGGATTTACCTGCTGTCTCAGCCAGGTTAACGGCCTTGACAAGAGAGAGGGATTACCTGCTGTCTCAGCAAGGTTACGGCCTTGACAGAAGAGAGGGATTTACTGCTGTCTCAGCAGGTTAACGGCCTTGACAGAAGAAGGGATTACCTGCTGTCTCACAGTTAACGCCTTGACAGAAGAGAGGGATTTACCTGCTGCTCCGGCCAGGTTAACGGGCCTTGACAGAAGAAGCAGAGATGGATTTACCTGCTGTCTCAGCCAGGTTAACGCCTTACGAAAGGGATTACCTGCTGTCTCAGCCAGGTTAGGCCTGACAAGAGAGGGATTTACCTGCTGTCTCAGCCAGGTTAAGCTTGACACGAGAGGAGGATTTACCTGCTGTCTCAGCCAGGTTAACGGCCTTGACAGAAGATAGGGATTTACCTGCTGTCTCAGCCAGGTGAACAGCCTTGACATAAGAGAGGGATTTTACCTGCTGTCTCATCCAGGTTAACGTCCTTGACAGAAGAGAAGGGATTTACCTGCTGTCTCAGCCATTTGAACACCTTGAAAAAGAGATGGATTTAACTGCCTGTCTCAGCCGGTTAACGGCCTTGAACAGAAGAGAGGGAGGATGTACCTGCTGTTCCTCAGCCAGGGTGAACAGCCGTACAAAGAAGAGGCTGTCCTGCGGTCCTCAGCGGTGAACCCTGGACAGAAGAGAGGGAGTGTACCGGCTGTCGCACCGGTTAACGGCCTGACCAGAAGAGAGGGATTTACCTGCTGTCTCACCAGTGAACGGCCTTGACAGAAGAGAGGATTTAACCTGCGGTCTCAGCCAGTGGAACAGCCCTTGACAGAAGAAGGGAATGTGACCGGCTGTCCAAGCCAGTTAACGCCTATGACAGAGAGAGGGATATTAGCGTCCGCAGCCAGGTTAACGGCCTTGACAGAAGAGAGGGATTTACCTGCTGTCTCAGCCAGGTGAACGGCCTTGACAGAAGAGAGGGATTTACCTGCTGTCTCAGCCAGGTTAACGGCCTTGACAGAAGAGAGGGATTTACCTGCTGTCTCAGCCAGGTTAACGGCCTTGCTCTCTTTGAAGGAGGACATCTCATAGAAGGCCTGGTTGTGTTTGGCGTGTTCAAAATCGGAGAAGTGGACACTCTTACAGTAGATCACCAAGTCAGACAGTTGCTTGGCTAGCTTGATCTTTGACTTCTGAAAAGCAATAAGACATCATCTTTATAATATTAACATCTACAGAAATAGAGATGTTATGAATGAATTTCTGTCAAAGTATTCCCATATGTGTTTTCCTTGGCATATGGCTTGACATTTGAAATGGAACTAGTTCTGCTGAGGACAGCATATGGCTTGGCATTTGAAATGGAACTAGTTCTGCTGAGGACAGTTTTGCAGCTAATCCAGCTAATCCAGTGTGCCTTGGCCCTGTTGGGGGTTTATGTGTTTGGCACCACAGTAGCATGACTATGTCTATTGGGCCTTGGTAGTGCCCCACTAGGGACTAGGGTGACCACAGTCCTGTGGGCCTTGGTAGTGCCCTACTAGGGACTAGGGTGACCACAGTCCTGTGGGCCTTGGTAGTGCCCCACTAGGGACTAGGGTGACCACAGTCCTGTGGGCCTTGGTAGTGCCCTACTAGGGACTAGGGTAACCACAGTCCTGTGGGCCTTGGTAGTGCCCTACTAGGGACTAGGGTGACCACAGTCCTGTGGGCCTTGGTAGTGTGCTACTAGGGACTAGGGTGACCACAGTCCTGTGGGCCTTGGTAGTGCCCTACTAGGGACTAGGGTGACCACAGTCCTGTGGGCCTTGGTAGTGCCCTACTAGGGACTAGGGTGACCACAGTCCTGTGGGCCTTGGTAGTGCCCTATTAGGGACTAGGGTGACCACAGTCCTGTGGGCCTTGGTAGTGCCCTACTAGGGACTAGGGTGACCACAGTCCTGTGGGCCTTGGTAGTGCCCTACTAGGGACTAGGGTGACCACAGTCCTGTGGGCCTTGGTAGTGCCCTACTAGGGACTAGGGTGACCACAGTCCTGTGGGCCTTGGTAGTGCCCTACTAGGGACTAGGGTGACCACAGTCCTGTGGGCCTTGGTAGTGCCCTACTAGGGACTAGGGTGACCACAGTCCTGTGGGCCTTGGTAGTGCCCTACTAGGGACTAGGGTGACCACAGTCCTGTGGGCCTTGGTAGTGCCCTACTAGGGACTAGGGTGACCACAGTCCTGTGGGCCTTGGTAGTGCCCTACTAGGGACTAGGGTGACCACAGTCCTGTGGGCCTTGGTAGTGCCCTACTAGGGTCTAGGGTGACCACAGTCCTGTGGGCCTTGGTAGTGCCCTACTAGGGACTAGGGTGACCACAGTCCTGTGGGCCTTGGTAGTGCCCTTCTAGGGACTAGGGTGACCACAGTCCTGTGGGCCTTGGTAGTGCCCTACTAGGGACTAGGGTGACCACAGTCCTGTGGGCCTTGGTAGTGCCCTACTAGGGACTAGGGTGACCACAGTCCTGTGCGCCTTGGTAGTGCCCTACTAGGGACTAGGGTGACCACAGTCCTGTGGGCCTTGGTAGTGCCCTACTAGGGACTAGGGTGACCACAGTCCTGTGGGCCTTGGTAGTGCCCTACTAGGGACTAGGGTGCCATTAGGGACACCAGGTCTTTAACTACCTTGGCACCACAGCAATCAATAGTCAATATACAGGCTATATACAGGGGGTACCGGTACCGAGTCAATATACAGGCTATATACAGGGGGTACCGGTACTGGGTCAATGTGGGGGTACAGGTTAGTTGTGTTTATACCATTACCTTGGCTTTGGCCTTCTGTCCGTTGGAGTCTGTCTTGGAGTTGTTGGTCTCTGCAGCCTCGTCCTCCTCTGAGACACAGTCGTCCTCTTCTCCAGGACTGATGCTGCTGAAGACGGCATCCAGCTTGTTCAGTCGTTTCCCCTTGATGATGAACCGACCCTTCAGCTCCTACACAGAGACAGACAGATACACATTGTAATGTAATTATCAACGCAAAAAAAATACAAAATACCAGGACACCTTGTTAAGGGTTCAGCAGTGAAGCTGGTGCAGTGAAGCTGGCCCTGTTGTATTTGTTCCAGTTCATTGGTGTTATTATTATTATACCAGTTCTTCGGTCCCACTCCTCACCCCATATGACCTAGAGTCCTGAAATTCAGTGCATAGGTCCCTCTTCTCACAAGGAACACATTAGCCTAATGAACCCATAAGGTCCACCTGACGGGCGCCCCCAGGTGGTGAAGGTAGGAAACAACACCTCCACTTCGCTGATCCTCAACACAGGGGCCCTACAAGGGTGCGTGCGCAGCCCCCTCCTGTACTCCCTGTTCACCCATGACTGCATGGCCAAGCACGCCTCCAACTCAATCATCAAGTTTGCAGACGACACAACAGTAGTAGGCTTGATTACCAATAATGACGAGACCGCCTACAGGGAGGAGGTGAGGGCTCTGGGAGTGTGGTGCCAGGAAAATGACCTCTCCTTCAACGTCAACAAAACAAAGGAGATGATCGTGGACTTCAGGAAACAGAAGAGGGTGCACCCCCCTATCCACATCGACGGGACCGCAGGGGAGAAGGTGGAAAGATTCAAGTTCCTTGGCGTACACATCACTGACAAACTGAAATGGTCCACCCACACAGACAGTGTGGTGAAGAAGGCGCAACAGAGCCTCTTCAACCTCAGGAGGCTGAAGAAATTTGACTTGGCATCTAAAACCCTCACAAACTTTTACAGATGCACAATTGAGAGCATCCTGTCGGGCTGTATCACCGCCTGGTACGGCAACTGCACCGCCCACAACCGCAGGGCTCTCCAGAGGGTGGTGCGGTCTGCCGAACTCATTACCGGGGGCAAACTACCCGCCCTCCAAGACACCTACAGCACCCGATGTCACAGGAAGGCCAAAAAAATCATCAAGGACATCAACCACCCGAGCCACTGCCTGTTCACCCCACTATCATCCTGAAGGCAAGGTCAGTACAGGTGCATCAAAGCTGGGACCGAGAGAATGAAAAACAGCTTCCATCTCAAGGCCATCAGACTGTTAAATAGCCATCACTAGCACATTAGAGGCTGCTGCTGCCTATTGAAATCACTGGCCACTTTAAGAAATGGAACACTAGTCACTTTAATAATGTTTCCATATCTTGCACTACTCATCTCATATGTATATACTGCATTCTATTCTATAATATTCTACTGTATCTTAGTCCATGCAGCTCTGTCATTGCTTGTCCATATATGTATATATTCTTAAATTCCATTCCTTACTTAGATTTGTGTGTATTGGGTATATGTTGTGAAATTGTTAGATATTACTTGTTAGATATTACTGCACTGTCGGAGCTAGAAGCACAAGCATTTCGCTACACCCGCAATAACGTCTGCTAAACACGTGTATTTGAAAAATAAGATTAGATTAGATTAGATTTGATGATGGATTTTCCGCCATTTTGAATTTTGTGAAAAACACTTAAATGACATCTCCTCCGGAACCACTGGGCCGATCTGGATTAACCTTGACATATGGCATCTATGGACCAAGGTCTCTCACCGCAATATTTTCCAGACTAGTATATCAAACAATATGGCCGATACTGACCAATAAACGTTAATGTAGCCGTGGTCTGGCACATTAATGCATATAAAATAAAATAAAATATTTTAAAAAATCAGACATGGTACACGTTTCAAACAGTCAAGACTCAACATATTCAAGCGTATTCAGATCGACCACACGGTGGCCATATACTGTGCACATGCTTATATCTTATGATCTGTTTGACTCAGAGTGATGAAATTTGGCACACAATGTAAGGGAAATGAGTCTAGCTAATCTGTAAAGTATGGTTCAAATGTTATTGAGTCTAGCTGACATAGTTACGTGTGTGTATTCATCTTTACTGGGTAGTAGATGGTTATGGTTTTAATATGCTGGCAAGTTAGGCAACATAGTGCCTCTTTCTAAAACAAGATCTCCATAATTTGCAACATCTTCCATCCTCCAGGAGAGCTAGTGGGTGGGCAGGCTGTTGTTCCTGCTCTAACACACCACAAATCAGCTGCCCAACATGACCTTCATCGGCTGACTGATGTTTCAACAGGGCTGGAAGAAAAGCCTGCACGCCCAGTAACTATCCAGATGACTGATGTTTCAGCAGGGCTGGAAGAAAAGCCTGCACGCCCAGTAACTATCCAGATGGAGGTTGAGCACACAGTAGCCTAACACTTATTTGACTTTGTGGGAGGTTAAATGCCTTGCTGAAGGGTACAACAGCAGGCCATTGTACATATGATCAGAGACTAGCAGTGGTTACTTACATCATACAACACAATCTTTTGTAATTTTTTTGACCAATGGTATTACAGACTATTTTTTATTTTTGGACAAGTGACTTAAACTTTCGGACAAGTAAAAAATCAAGCCCTGTGTGGTCTGAGCGGTTTAGCTAATCCACAATCCCAATCCAATCAGATGAACACATGAAAAAGACAAAAGAGAGACAATTACGTTAGCCAATGTCCACAGTATATTATCCAATACTGAACTGATAACTAGATTGTTACATTGAGTTTCAGTTTGGGTGATTTGGACAAGCAGCTAAACATGTTGATGTCAACCTCTGTGTGGAAGGAATAGGCTAATTACTGGGGATGTCACTAGTGTACTTTCCTTCTGTGATCTTCCCTTCTGTGATCTTTCCTTCTGTGATCTTCCCTTCTGTGATCTTTCCTTCTGTGATCTTCCCTTCTGTGTCCTTCCCTTCTGTGATCTTTCCTTCTGTGATCTTCCCTTCTGTGATCTTCCCTTCTGTGTCCTTCCCTTCTGTGATCTTTCCTTCTGTGATCTTCCCTTCTGTGATCTTCCCTTCTGTGTCCTTCCCTTCTGTGATCTTTCCTTCTGTGATCTTTCCTTCTGTGATCTTCCCTTCTGTGATCTTTCCTTCTGTGATTTTCCCTTCTGTGACCTTTCCTTCTGTGATTTTCCCTTCTGTGATCTTTCCTTCTGTGATCTTTCCTTCTGTGTTCTTTCCTTCTGTGATCTTTCCTTCTGTGTTCTTCCCTCCTCCATTCTTTACTGCCCATTGTTCAATAGGTCCACTCGTTGCTGAGGAATTCATCCTTACCCCATCAGTACTAGATAGATGGTTGTGGTTATAACATGCTGGCAGCAATATAGTGGCTCTTTTTTAAACCATTGTTAACTTTCATGCCTGGAATTTATTGATCAAATTAGACAGACAATACTGTAGCAGCAACATGTCTTTCTATCTAAATATTTGAAATAGGACCTATTCCACCAGATGGGGAAATCATCAATCAGACATTCACTGATAGGATTAGAGCAAAGTAACCTAACTTTTGCAAAACACATTTCCACCACTGTTATTGTTGGCAAAGTTAGCTTACGTGTAAACATTTATGGAGAGCCCTAAAAGTTCATCATTTACATTTACATTTTACATTTTATGACGCTGTCACTGGCTGACTGAAGAGAGGTCAGCGAAACCACCTGGGGACTTCAGTAGAGAGAATGCATCTATGATCAGTTTTACCATCCTACCAGCTTCAGTAGAGAGAATGCATCTATGATCAGTTTTACCATCCTACCAGCTTCAGTAGAGAGAATGCATCTATGATCAGTTTTACCATCCTACCAGCTTCAGTAGAGAGAATGCATCTATGATCAGTTTTACCATCCTACCAGCTTCAGTAGAGAGAATGCATCTATGATCAGTTTTACCATCCTACCAGCTTCAGTAGAGAGAATGCATCTATGATCAGTTTTACCATCCTACCAGCTTCAGTAGAGAGAATGCATCTATGATCAGTTTTACCATCCTACCAGCTTCAGTAGAGAGAATGCATCTATGATCAGTTTTACCATCCTACCAGCTTCAGTAGAGAGAATGCATCTATGATCAGTTTTACCATCCTACCAGCTTCAGTAGAGAGAATGCATCTATGATCAGTTTTACCATCCTACCAGCTTCAGTAGAGAGAATGCATCTATGATCAGTTTTACCATCCTACCAGCTTCAGTAGAGAGAATGCATCTATGATCAGTTTTACCATCCTACCAGCTTCAGTAGAGAGAATGCATCTATGATCAGTTTTACCATCCTACCAGCTTCAGTAGAGAGAATGCATCTATGATCAGTTTTACCATCCTACCAGCTTCAGTAGAGAGAATGCATCTATGATCAGTTTTACCATCCTACCAGCTTCAGTAGAGAGAATGCATCTATGATCAGTTTTACCATCCTACCAGCTTCAGTAGAGAGAATGCATCTATGATCAGTTTTACCATCCTACCAGCTTCAGTGGAGAGAATGCATCTATGATCAGTTTTACCATCCTACCAGCTTCAGTGGAGAGAATGCATCTATGATCAGTTTTACCATCCTACCAGCTTCAGTGGAGAGAATGCATCTATGATCAGTTTTACCATCCTACCAGCTTCAGTGGAGAGAATGCATCTATGATCAGTTTTACCATCCTACCAGCTTCAGTGGAGAGAATGCATCTATGATCAGTTTTACCATCCTACCAGCTTCAGTGGAGAGAATGCATCTATGATCAGTTTTACCATCCTACCAGCTTCAGTGGAGAGAATGCATCTATGATCAGTTTTACCATCCTACCAGCTTCAGTAGAGAGAATGCATCTATGATCAGTTTTACCATCCTACCAGCTTCAGTAGAGAGAATGCATCTATGATCAGTTTTACCATCCTACCAGCTTCAGTAGAGAGAATGCATCTATGATCAGTTTTACCATCCTACCAGCTTCAGTAGAGAGAATGCATCTATGATCAGTTTTACCATCCTACCAGCTTCAGTAGAGAGAATGCATCTATGATCAGTTTTACCATCCTACCAGCTTCAGTAGAGAGAATGCATCTATGATCAGTTTTACCATCCTACCAGCTTCAGTAGAGAGAATGCATCTATGATCAGTTTTACCATCCTACCAGCTTCAGTAGAGAGAATGCATCTATGATCAGTTTTACCATCCTACCAGCTTCAGTAGAGAGAATGCATCTATGATCAGTTTTACCATCCTACCAGCTTCAGTAGAGAGAATGCATCTATGATCAGTTTTACCATCCTACCAGCTTCAGTAGAGAGAATGCATCTATGATCAGTTTTACCATCCTACCAGCTTCAGTAGAGAGAATGCATCTATGATCAGTTTTACCATCCTACCAGCTTCAGTAGAGAGAATGCATCTATGATCAGTTTTACCATCCTACCAGCTTCAGTAGAGAGAATGCATCTATGATCAGTTTTACCATCCTACCAGCTTCAGTAGAGAGAATGCATCTATGATCAGTTTTACCATCCTACCAGCTTCAGTAGAGAGAATGCATCTATGATCAGTTTTACCATCCTACCAGCTTCAGTAGAGAGAATGCATCTATGATCAGTTTTACCATCCTACCAGCTTCAGTAGAGAGAATGCATCTATGATCAGTTTTACCATCCTACCAGCTTCAGTAGAGAGAATGCATCTATGATCAGTTTTACCATCCTACCAGCTTCAGTAGAGAGAATGCATCTATGATCAGTTTTACCATCCTACCAGCTTCAGTAGAGAGAATGCATCTATGATCAGTTTTACCATCCTACCAGCTTCAGTAGAGAGAATGCATCTATGATCAGTTTTACCATCCTACCAGCTTCAGTAGAGAGAATGCATCTATGATCAGTTTTACCATCCTACCAGCTTCAGTAGAGAGAATGCATCTATGATCAGTTTTACCATCCTACCAGCTTCAGTAGAGAGAATGCATCTATGATCAGTTTTACCATCCTACCAGCTTCAGTAGAGAGAATGCATCTATGATCAGTTTTACCATCCTACCAGCTTCAGTAGAGAGAATGCATCTATGATCAGTTTTACCATCCTACCAGCTTCCACCCTCAGTCCTTACCATCTCACGGAATTTGCATATTTTCACAACATTTTGGCAAAGCTTGCTAGGTGGCTAACGCATTAACAGAGAGGTATATTTTCTGGGTGATTTAAATATTGACTGGCTTTCATCAAGCTACCCACTCAAGAAAGAGCCTCAAACTGTAACCAGTGCCTGCAATCTGGTTCAGGTTATCAATCAACCTACCAGGGTAGTTATAAACAGCACAGGAATGAAATCATCAACATGTATTGATCACATATTTACTAATGCTGCAGAAATGTGCTTTAATGTATCCTAATCCATTGCCTGTAGTGATCACAATATAGTAGCCATATCTAGGAAAACCAAAGTTCCAAAGGCTGGGCCTAATATAGTGTATAAGAGGTCATACAATACGTTTGTAGTGATTCCTATGTTGTTGATGTGAAGAATATTTGTTAATATGTGGTTGTTAATGAGGAGCAACCAGATGCTGCGCTTTACACATTTATGAAATTGCTTATTCCAGTTACTAAAAAGCATAAACCCATTAAGACAATGACTGTAAAACTGTTAAATCCCCGTGGATTGATGAGGAATTGAAAAATGGTATGGTTGAGAGGGATGAGGCAAAAGAGATGGCAAATAGGTCTGGCTGCACAACCGATTGGCAAACATACTGCAAACTGAAAAATCATGTGACTAAACTGAATAAAAAGAAGAAGAAACTAAACTATGAAACAAAGATAAATGACATAAAGAATGATAGTAAAAAGCTTTGGAGCACCTTCAATTACATTTTGGGCAAAAATACATTTATTGAATCAGATGGCTCATTCATCACAAAACCCACTGATATTGCCAATTACTTTAATGATTTTTTCATTGGCAAGATTAGCAAATTTAGACATGACATGCCAGCAACAAAAGCTGACACTACACATCCAAGTTTAACTGACCAAGTTATGAAAGATAAGCGTTGTAATTTTGAATTGTGAGTGTGGAAGAGGTGAATTTTTTGTTGTTGTCTATCAACAATGACAAGCCACCGGTGTCACGCCCTGACTCTGAGGACTTGTATTTGTTGAGTCAGGGTGTGTATTTTCTGGGTTGTGTTTGCTATGTCGATGTTCTATGTTTAAGATCTAGAATGGGTAGATCTATGTTGGCCTGTGTGGTTCCCAATCAGAGGCAGCTGTAGCTCGTTGTCTCTGATTGGGACCATACTTAGGCAGCCTGTTGGCACCAGTTAGTTGTAGGATCTTGTTCCGTGTAAGGTATGTTGTTTGTGTGCTACCTTGGACTTCACGTTTCGTTTGTTGTTTTGTCATGTGTTTAGTCGTTAATAAATATGAATGCATATCACGCTGCGCCTTGGTTCGACCAGTCTTTAAACGATCGTGACAACCGGGGTCTGACAACTTGGATGGAGAATTACTGAGGATAATAGCGGACGATATTTCCACTCCCATTTACCATATCTTCAATCTAAGCCTACTAGAAAGTGTGTGCCCTCAGGCCTGGAGGGAAGCAAAAGTTATTCCGCTACCTAAGAATATTAAAGCCCCCTTTACTGGTTAAAATATCCGACCAATCAGCCTGTTACCAACACTTAGTAAACTTTGGGGAAAAATTGTGTTTGACCAGATACAATGCTATTTTACAGTAAACAAATTGACAACAGACTTTCAGCATGCTTATAGGGAAGGACATTCAACAAGCACAGCACTTACACAAATGACTGATGATTGGCGGAGAGAAATTCATGATTAAAAGATTGTGGGAGCTGTTTTGTTAGACTTCAGTGCGGCTTTTGACATTATCGATCATAGTCTGCTGCTGGAAAAAACGTATGTGTTATGGCTTTACACCCCCTGCTATAATGTGGATAAAGAGTTACCTGTCTAACAGAACACAGCGGGTGTTCTTTAATGAAAGCCTCTCCAACAAAATCCAGGTAGAATCAGGAATTCCCCAGGGCAGCTGTCTAGGCCCATTACTTTTTTCAATCTTTGCTAATGACATGCCACTGGCTTTGAGTAAAGCCAGTGTGTCTATGTATGCGGATGACTCAACACTATACATATGTCAGCTAATACAGCGACTGAAATGACATCAACACTTAACAAAAAGCTGCAGTTAGTTTCAGAATGGGTGGCAAGGAATAAGTTAGTGCTAAATATTTCAAAAACTAAAAGCATTGTATTTGGGACAAATCAT